TCTACTTGGCATTCCCCGAAATGAAGCAAAGAGGCGAATTAAAAAAAAAATATTATAGGACCTTCTACTTTGCATTCCCCGAAATGAAACAAAGAAGCGAAATAAATTAAATATTGTAGGGCATTCTACTTTGAATTACCGGCAATGCCTAAAAGAAGCGAACAAATTCGAAGGCATTATAACGCTATGCCTTCTAAACACGATTACCGATTGTTTGCTGGGCTATGTTAAACTAAAAGTGAAAATAAACAATACTTTGTCGGAGAGTGGTTAATTTTTTAATATGTATACATATCCTAATTTTGAAGAGCTCCAAAAATTATTATCAACAATTTATATTGAGCTCGAGGCCGTTTTAAATGAAAATTTTTATTGTGGCAAAGCAACAATAATTTGAAAAAATGGTAGAAGTGATAGCTATTTCGGAAATCACCACATTTCCTCATCAGACCTCTTTCAGTAGGGTTCGAACCGACGATCCCACTGACTCAGCCAGTTGCCTATGCACCGTGCTAAGTACGCCTTGTAAATTATCGTTTGCTTTTTTCCACTATTTTCATTTTTGTTATGCCAACACAATCAAGCGCAGCTATTCCGCTGCAATTCACTTGATCATGTGGTTGTTGGCATTGTTGGTTTTATGCTAATAATTCTATTTTTAGAATGTTTAACTTTTAGGTGTGCTCGTCCTTAAGTTATTTGTTTTTGTTATTTTTTTCACTATTTTCATTTTTGTTATGCCAACACAATCAAGCGCAGCTATTCCGCTGCAATTCACTTGATCATGTGGTTGTTGGTGTTGTTGAGTGAGTTGCAGCTAGGCCAAAAAAATAACAAAAACAAATAACTTAAGGACGAGTTAAACATTATAAAAATAGAATTATTAGCATAAAACCAACAAAAAAAGCAAACGACAAGGCGTACTTAGCACGTTGCATAGGCAACTGGCTGAGTCAGTGGGATCGTCGGTTCGAATCCTACTGAAAGAAGTCTGATGAGGAAATGTGGTGATTTCCGAAATAGCTATCACTTCTACCATTTTTTCAAATTAGTGTAGCTTTTCCACAATAAAAATTTTCATTTAAAACGGCCGCGACATCAATATAAATTGTTGAATATAATTGTTATAAAGGCCAAAAAAATAACAAAAACAAATAACTTAAGGACGAGCACACCTAAAAGTTAAACATTCTAAAAATAGAATTATTAGCATAAAACCAACAATACCAACAACCACATGATCAAGTGAATTGCAGCGGAATATCTGCGCCTGATTGTGTTGGCATAACAAAAATGAAAATAGTGGAAAAAAGTAGAGGTGTCAAACTATCGATAGTCACACCATCGATAGTTTTGATAGTTTTCTGAAAAACTATCAATATTCACGATAGTCTCAAAAAAAACAAAATTATCGATAGCACTATCGATAGCGCTATCGATAGCTCTAAATCAGTTAGGTTGCTTTGTTTTTACAGGATCATAGTGAAATAAATATTATCTTATAAAAGTTATAATCATTCAAAATTAAGTAACTGCTTAGCCAAAATACTTCTCTTTTTAGAAAGTTTAAAAACAAACACAAGTTATACAAACAAAACAGGATTTACGATTAACATATGTATGTATAATTTCAAAAGAATTGGGAGAGATAATCGATAGTCCTACTGAACTATCGATATTTTCGATAGTATATGAAAAAACTATCAATGAGTATTGATAGTCTAAAAAAATTTAAACTATCGATACTATCGATAGTGCTATCGATAGTTTGACAACTCTAGCACTCCTTGACAAAAAGCAAACGACAATTTACAAGGCGTACTGAGCACGGTGCATAGGCAACTGGCTGAGTCAGTGGGATCGTCGGTTCGAATCCTACTGAAAGAAGTCTGTTGAGGAAATGTGGTGATTTCCGAAATAGCTATCACTTCTACCATTTTTACAAATTATTGTTGCTTTTCCACAATAAAAATTTTCATTTAAAACGGCCTCGAGCTCAATATAAATTGTTGAATATAATTATTATAAAGGCCAAAAAAAAAATAACAAAAACAAATAACTTAAGGACGAGATCAAAAAATCTAAAAATTACTTGTTGCAAAACTATAACTCCAAAAAAAAAAAAATAAATCCAAATAAATTTGTTTTTGTATTAGTAAAAGCTATTAAATTTGCTGATTTATTTTGGAACTATTTTCCGTCATCCCTTGTCAGGTTTGGTTTGCAGACAAACCGGTTTCGGCGTTGTGCCATCTTCAGTGTCATTTTTCGTATTAAATTTGCTATTATCTCCGCCAACAAGATTATCCAACTGGAAAAACAATTTAGGAGCTATACATTTATTTGTCGATAAAAAAATGGCCATGGAGGAAATGGTTTTTCGTAGAAATGGTGTATAATTCTTTAAAATCAATATTTTTCGATTGGATCTCTGTTTTGCTTCAGGAGGAATTCGATATTTATTAAAAGATTTCGAACTTTTTTGGCCTTATCGAATTTTCGGAGCTTTTTTTGGCCTTGGCAAATTTTCCTTTCATTGAATATAAACGAGAAAACATAAAACAAGGACCTTTACCCTTTTCGAAACGATGCAATTTTAATTTATCTAGCCTCCTATATCAAAATATGATTTTTCATTAAAAGTGAAGTTAGCAACTTTTCGCTCTAAGCTAGCGATATATGAGTTTTACAATCAGTTTACCGTAAATTTTAAATAGTTTTATTTAATGGTATGTTTAAATGCTTTCAGATATTGAATTTTTACTCATATTCATAAAATTTTCAATTTGAATCCCGGTTTATCGTAAATTTAAAACAGTTTTATTTAATGGTTTGTTTAAATGCTTTCAGATATTGAATTTTTACTCATATTCATATAATTTATGACTCAATTTGAATCCCGGTTTATCGTAAATTTTAAATAGTTTTATTTAGTGGTATGTTTAAATGTTTTCAGATATTGAATTTTTACTCATATTCATAAAATTTATGACTCAATTTGAGTCCCGGGATAAATCCCGGGATCCCAGGATTACCTAAAAAATATCCCGAAATCCCGGGATCCCAATTTTCCTGATATTTTGGCATCCCTAGTACATAAATAATATGCAATATAAAATGGAAATTGAAGAAGATGTGCATAGATATTAATGACTCGCCAATCTATTAATCACACATTCAACATTCAGCCAAAAATGGACGCTTCTCTGGACGAGATCCGTTTTCGATGACAAGAGTACTGGCTTTAGCTCAGCTTTTCTTGTATAAAATGTAGGTAAAATTTAAGGTTTCAGTGTAAATGTACATCCTCAACATAATTTAGTATACAGGTATTGTAAATGCTTTCGTTTTGTCATTTTTAAAATGAAGAAATAGGAACTTCTTTATAGGCGGCATACACAATGCGTCTGACTCGCGAGTCATTTGTGTACGTGTTGACTCGCCTTCGACTACACACAGTTGAATCATTCAGAGTCATGGTAGGAGCCATGTCAGTGTAACTAACACATATTTATTTTTACAAACACATCCAAACTGACTCGCGAGGTAGACGCACCGTGTATGCCGCCTATTAGAAATAAAATAAATGTGCCTGTTCATTTTCACCAAAATTCATAATTTTATGACTTGGAGCAAAAATAGTTGTGTAGAAGGTGGGCGCCGTAATAAGAAATTCTTTACTATCTGCCAAGTTGGAAAATTCTGGCTTAAACGAGCAGGGCACACCGAATTTCATCAATAATTTGCGCCTGTTTTTCTAGAATTACTGGACGATAATGTAAACCGATTTTGACAATCTTTCGAATTTATGCTTTTCTCGTTAAAAACAGCATATCCTCTGAACTTGATTCAAATCGGATAAAATTTACTATTTCCGCCCACAATAGCTGTGGGCGTGGTAGCGCGTTGAATTTTACCATTTTCCACATTTCTTCCTTCCTAAGTACCGAACGTATATACGAAATTTCAGCGAATTTCTAGTACGGTTACAACTTTTAGCCGCAGCATATACGGGGACGTCCCACTGTGCCGCGCGACCTATGGGTAGTGATATATTAACTATTTAGAGAATAATTTAAAATTTTATAATGTAGCTTATCTAAAAGGCAAAATTTAACTTCAACAGCTAATAAGAATCGGAGTTTGGGTGGTGGTTGAACAATTTTCAAGACAGTACTTAAGGAGGCTAAGCGCAATGTGCGCAAAATTTGGGCGAGATCGTCGAAGTAGTTTTTGAGATACACACATATATGATATAAGTAGGCGGTGGCACGCCCATTTTCGTAAAATTTGTAACATAAATTTTTTGCTAATAGCCATTGTATATATCAATTTTAAGTAAATACTGATAAATTCCTTAGTCACACTGCCCAAAAGATTTGTAAATTCAAGACCGTAATTTTGCTTAAATTGCTTAGCCTCGACAATTTTTAAGCAATTGCATTAAGTGAGGTATTAATTTATCCGAAAATAAATATACCTTTAGTTAATACTACATATTTGGCAATTTTCATGGAAATTTTTGAAATTAGTGATGGTCAAAGTGGAAAAATTTTAGAAATTTAGGGTTTTTTTTTTTAATTTTCCCCAAAAAAAAATACCAACGAGCTAAATCTGACAATATATTGTTATATATCATTTTAAAGGCCTATACATCTTATTTTCAAAACATGTTTGATTTTTAAAATTGGATGAAACATAGTCAAACTCTTAACAGCTAAGTGCACAAAGTACGAAAATACTTAATAAAATAAAAATGGAGGGTTCAGAAACTATGAGCAACGTATTTTCATGCTGTACCCGATCCTAGCTACAGCCTACACTAATGCTGGTATTCAGAAATTCAATCTCATCTAAGGTCACTAAATTTGAGACTAGCAAATAGTGACCGTTTTCGTGACTTGAGTTGGTTTGGGTATTTAGTAAGAGAGAGTCACCAAAAACATCTTTACGTAATAGTATTTCATTAAGTGATTTAGGTACTAATAACTATTCCTTACCTTCTAAGAACCCGAATTTCATTTTCCAGCGATTCCTCTTTTCCTTTTAACGCTTTTTTATCGATGATTTTAACAGCAAAATGCTCACCGGGGTTTTCCTTGCTTTCGGCCAGCCGTACCTCGGAAAATGCGCCACTGAAAGTAAGAACATTTTAAAACAAAGCTGAATATAAAAGTTCTTCGTTAATTGCATTTATTACTAAGTACATGTACCCTTTACTAGCATTAAAATCAAAATTTAAGGAAATTATGTTCTTTGTGAATAATTCCTAACTATATTCAGTATAAGCACTGGAATAGACGATCATGTTTCACGTTCTTACAACCGGAACCACCCAGACTTATGTATATCTGGCCAAAGGTTGTCACTTCAACATTCCCCAAAACTGTTTGGGGAATTTTACGCTATTTACAACAACAACAACAAACTTGTTTCGCAATGAGTCATTATATTAATGTGTGTTGACATTTTATATGAGGCAATATTTTTCATATCGGACACCAAATTTGGTGCCAGACTTTCGATTGGCCTACAATATACATATAATAATAATTCTATACATGAAATAAACTAACAGATATACGCGGAATTTTTTTCTTCGGAGATATGACCTGTCAATGTTTTGATTTTTTTTATTCTGACCAAATGCACGGTGCTACAAAAAAAGGCATGAAATATACCCGAAACAAACCCAAGTGTAGGTTGTAGGTATGGTCGAGTACCAATTGAAAATAGGTTTTGTATAGTTCCTGAACCTGATTTTTTGCTTAAGAGTCAGTGTATATATAAATTTTTAGTAAATCGACAGCTGAGTGAAAGATCGAGCCATCTCGGCAGCCTGTTCGAAAACGCCCTATCTCGAAAACCCTATTTCAGAATTTGGATGAAGAACGCCCTATTTCAAAATTCGTTTTGAAAACGCCCTATCTCAGCTGCCGATTCAAAAACGCCCTACATCAGCACATTTTCAATACAGTGACTGAATTCTGAGATAGGACGTTCTTCAACCAAAATTCTCAAATAGGACGTTCTTGCAAATTTGTTTGAGATAGGGCGTTTTCGAACTGGCTGCCGAGATAGGTCGATCTTCCACTCAGCGGTCGAAATATTGATGAGTTTCTTAGCCACATTTCTCAAAAAATCTGAACGTACGGTACAACACACATACAAATTCAAGACCGTATTTTTGCTTAACTTCAACAATTTTTATGCAATTGCATTAGGCAAGGTACCAATTTATTCGAAAAAAAAATATTTTAGGTAAATACTATATGTTTAGCAACTTTCATAGAAACTTTTGAAATCAGCGATGGTCAAAGATGAAAAAATAAAGAAAAATAGGGGCTTATTAAATTGTAGCCAATAGAAACATCCAATAAGCTAAATCTAACGATATATTGTTATACATCATTTTAAAGGTCTATGTTCGGGTTTTGAAATCGGATGAAAAATAGTCAAGCTGTTAGCATCAAGTACGAAAGTAACGGGTTTTTGGTATAAAAAGGGAGGGTTCAGGAACTATACGGGACCTATTTTCATGTTGTACTCGACCATACCTACAACCTACACTAGGTTTTGTTTCGGGTGTATTTCATGACTTTTTTTTTGTAGTACCGCGTTATTATTCAAATAAAAAATAAATTTTATTCGCAATTTATATGTTATATTTGAATGCCGAATAAATTTTCATTGATCATAGAGAAATTTAAAACAAGTAATTTTTAGCAAAAAAAAAACGAGTTAAAAAATATATATATATATATTTCATGATCCAATGATCCGATCTAAACCATATTAGTATGGGATCACCTCTGAGACACTACCTTTCCGATTCAAAAAGAATTATCGAAATCGGTTGACGTGGTTAAAAGCTATGCCGTAACATATATAAAAAAAAAAAAAATATTCCGACGAATTGATAACCTCCTCCTTTTTCTGAAGTCGGTTAATAACGAATAAATTTTTATTCATCATTCAAGTAATTTCGAAAAAGATTAAATTTGTATTCTTCCTTAAAATTATTTCAAATAACGAATAAATTTTTATTAACTATTGAAGTAATTTCATACGATTTCATTCAAATAATTCCAAACAACGAATAATATTTAGTTTATTATTTAGACATTCTTTCTTTATATTGTACCAGTCATGGGCGCACCCAGGAATATATTTTAGGGGGTGTTTTATATTTCTGTAGATATATCACCGGAAAATACTGAAAATTTGCTTCAGATAATACCCTCTTTAAAATACATTTATGCAAGTTTTATGTATAGTATGTAATAAATAAATAAACGTTTTAAAATTCATAAACTGCACTTTATTTACAGATTAACAGAACTCAAACGCTTTTAACCGACTTCAAAAAAAAAGGGAGGTTATCATCTCGCCGGAATACATAACTTTGGACCACGTGAACCATTTTCAATAATCCATTTTTTATTAGAAAGATAGTACCTCATCGTCCCGTAATTTGTTTTAGAGATCCAATGATTGGATCATGAAGAAATTAACGGTACCCCTAAATTTGAATATGAGAATTGAAGTCGGTTGTGTTCTTTCCTTAAAAACTACTTGCTTAATAAAAAGTTCTATAAACTCAAGATGCGCTCAACTTTCAAAAGTACCTAATAAAAAATTTAAAAAAACAGTCAGTAAAAATAAATTTATTGATTCCATACATTTTTGCACTTCTATGTTCATTTTTTCGATTTCTGATTTTCGATAGATGGTGATTTTTCACGATTGCTAAATTTTTTTAATATATCAAATACCGAAAAAATTAACTGAACTCTCAAGAAAAACGAAAAATTCATATAAAACGACGGACGAGAAATGGAAAAGAAATTTTCTTCTACCGAAATTTCTTAAATCAGTTTGCAGCTCTCAAGAAAAAAAATGCTCGTATATTTATTCCCTCATGAAAATTTACAGCAAAAGCGTTTTCAAGCAACAGAAATTATAATAAATATTTCTTATAATTTCCTTGAGAGCTGGATTCTTAGCTTTAAGATACAGATTTTATTTGAGGTGATTAGCTTTAGGGGGGGTTTGAACCCCAAAACCCACCCCATGTGTGCGCTAATGGTACCAGTTAGGCATCAAGGTTCGTATCGTATATCGGCAAATCTAAAAAAAAACAGGTAGCCTTTGTATTATTTAGCTTCATTTTCATTGTTGTAAACTATATTAAGCTGGTTGCCTTTGGATATAATTCATAGACGTATACTTGAAGCCTCAAAAAAATGTTTAATCAACTTGTTGCATAACTCTTGAGTTATAGCTGTTTTAATTAAAAAAAAAATATTAAAAACAAGTGCTTTTTTTGTAATTTTTAAGAGGTGAAAAATTAATTATTTATGTCATAACTTTTGAAGCACAGCATACACTGGTTTGAAATTTTATGTGCTATTAGTACTTATGTGTTCACTTCATATGTAGTTGGTAAATAAAGTGCGCTTTACAAAATAACTAAATGGAAAGTAACGAAAAGTATGTAACTGTATTTCCACACCTTTCAAATTTTTCAATTTATATATAGTATAGTTTTTCAAGCATTTCACTTTAAAAACTTTTTAAGTATGTATTGTATTCTTCAAACAATTACGAATAATTTGATACATTAGCAAGAGGTGTGCTTTCAGAATAAACCAACTTTTAAAGATAAAATATTCTGCGATCTTGAGAGTAATTTTTATTCCAAAAACATCTTAATTGAAGGCACATTTGGAAAATACGTCGAAACGATCTAACTAATTTTATAACTACTAGTCCTTTAAACGTTATATATACCTGAAAAATGCTTCAAAAAACATTTCTCTAGAAGTGTGTAAAAACTCTGATTTATTTACTACATTTAATGAGGATCCTCCTGTAGTCAGAATATTTCGAGCGTGGTATCAAATCAAATTTTTTTTGACAAAGGTTCTGACAGTTGCTCTTACTTAATTCCTTGCCTTCTAAATTCAATGGCGTCCACAGTTTTGGCCGATTGGCTCCACTTTTCGAGGTAGCGGTACTTGAAACTTTACTTAAATTTGAACTATTTTATAACCGAGACCCAGAATAATAATTATTAATAGTTATGTCTCTCTTTTATAAAAAACTCCCTCAGTTGTGAAGATATTTTACTAAAATTTTACACAGGGTTGTATTTTATATTACATTCACTATCTCTTAAAATCAACGAAATCTGTTCACTATAAAATTTAGTTCACATACAACTGATTGTTCAGAGACGTGGTTTTGCGTTGTAACTCCTCCAACTAAGCATTTAAAAATTTAGTATAGGTTCACTTTAACATATAGCATGCATACAATTTATTATTCAGATAGGAAGTTAGAGTTATAGCACAAAAACAAATATCTGAGTAATCAGTTGTATTGGAGCTATATGTTAAAGTGAAGCTATTTTCATAAAAAAATTGCAAAATTTTAGCAAAATAACTTCAAAACTGAGGGAGAAATTAAAAAAATAGTTAAAATTTGATCAAATTATCAAGTTTTTGTTTTGAAAGTGTACCTGATTTTTTAGATTTGCTCATATACATATTTATTGCATATGAAAAATATAATATCCAAATCTACATACATACGTACGTACATATGAATATAAGCATGTACATAAGATAAGAAACAAGGACTGAATGGTAAATAATAAATTATTCGTTATTCGGAATCATGAATGAAAATTAATTCGTCATTTGAAATTATGTACTAGAATGATGAACTCAATTTTTTTTGTTATTTGAAAATTCTTGATGGTCAATGAAAATTTATTCTTCATTCGAGATTGCTTGAGTGATGAATACAAATTTATTCGTTATTTGGAATGTCTTGATGATGAGAGAAGGCATTAAGAGTGTTGGCGATGCAAAGAACTTGCACAAGCTGGTACAAGCGAACTCTCTTAATGTATATTTAAGTTGCGTCCGCCAATCCATTCGCTTTCCAAGTGATAATACCACCCTAACACTTTTAACCCATGTTTCCTATCGATAAATTTAATGTTAGAAAATTTGGCGTTTTGACAGTTTCCTTTATTTTGCTATTCGGATTTGTTTATTTTTTTATTCTATGAATTTAATGAATAATTGAATAAAACAAATATAACAATAAATTTTCATTCATCATCAAGACTTTCCAAATAACGAATAAATGATGAAGAATTTTCAAATAACAAAAAAAAATTTAATTCATCATTCTAGTACATAATTTCAAACGAAGAATATTCATCATGCTTATATTCATATGTACGTACGTATGTATGTAGATTTGGATATTACATTTTCAAATTTATCATATGCAGTAAATATGTATATGGGCAAATCTAAAAAAACAGGTACACTTTCAAAACAAAAACTTTAATTTTTTAATTTGTGGGCACACCTATAGTTTATATATAATTCTATTCGCAATCTGTTAATAAATCGATAAATGTAAGTGCTTCAAAAGTTAGACGAGGAATAAACATTTTAAAATAAAGCTTCTTTTCCAACAATTTCATATAAGCGCATAATACAAATAATAAATGAGGTTTTCTTGACAGATCATAGGAGTGACGCATAGGCCGTATAGGAATGGTCGATATAGCTGAAGCAAAGAAACTTACAGAAAGAATAAAATGATAAAGTGGTCTCCAACAAAAATTGTCTCTCCTCTAGTTCTAACTTTTACGGAGATTTTATCGTCCTATAGTGTTTGTGAAAACTGGGAGTTCTCTAAGTATCCACATTAGGGTGCCCATGGAAAATGCTTTTTTTTTGGAAATTTCAAGACCCTACCCCCTAATTTTATTCGTTCTTATGAGACATATTATTGACCAGTCGATTTAGGTCAGAAAATAGGATTTTGTAGATTTATGAGTTTCTGAATGACTATTTTTGATTCGATTTCAAAGATCGAATATGATCTTAGAACGGGATATATAGGCCTTTAAAATGGTATATAATAATCTATTGTCGGACTGGGCTTGTTGGGATTTATTATCGGGTAAATTAAAAAAGACCCATATTTCTCTTAATTTTTTAAATTTTGACTATCAGCAATTTCAAAATATGTAGTAGAGCTCTCGATTTTGTTCGCACATTTTCAAACAGCCCGGGTATATGAGCAGCGAGTACTCGCACACTTGTTCAATGCTCATTACTCGAAAATTTTCGAGCATGAGCTCGAGCAATTCGAGTTTTTTCGAGTAATTTGAGCAATGTTTTTTTTTATTATATTGACATTTTTGGTAGCAACTTTTTAAATATTTCAAATTATTGATATATAATGCAAAGATTGTTACATTGGTTTTTATTAATACAATTTATTTAACATGAATTAGAAAGCAGCTGCTGACAAATACAATTTACAAATTTTCTTTTGTTTATGAAATTGTTCAAAAACTCGAAATTTTTGAACAAACATTTGAGCAGTTGAGCAATAAACGAGTTTCGAGCGAGTATCGAGCTACTCGCATTGCTCGATACCCGGGTATCTAGAGCTCTAATATGTAGTACTATCTATTGTGAAATTAGGCGACTTTTCTTAAATACGGCCTTGAATTTATATTGTTTATGTACCGGATACCGCACTTTCAGATTTTTTGAGCAGTATGTCTAAGGAATTCATCAATATTTATTCAAAATTGATATATACAATCGCTCTTTAGAAAATAAGTGGTTTTAAAAGAAATTTTAGAAATATGGGGGTAGCACCGCCCACTTATATGATATTATTATTACTATTATTATCAATATATCATTCTGAAACAAGGCGCTTATTCCCAGCGATCTACAAGTCGTACTGAGACAAGTTATACATCAAATTAAAGCGCTCGATCTGAAACTTTGCACAAACTTTTCAGATTTAAGATTCATTGAACCATTTTCGAAATATTTGCGTCGAAAGATTTAAAAATTTTTACATTGAGCAAAGCATTGCTACGCTGATTTCGATAGGCAGCGTCTCAGCGGAACATAAGAAAAATTGTTCCATTTATTCGCTTTCGTTTCTGTTTTGGTTTCATATCGTTAAAAGCAAACATGGGCACATTTGCCCGTATGGGCTTTTTTACCTGTACGGGCAAGCGAGCGCATTCCGCGGGCTAGACAGGGGAAAATCATGGGCAAACATGAAGGGGGCAAGGAATATTACTATTACACGTATACCAATGAGAGCCACTGCATACGCATTCTGGAGTAAAAAGGCCCACTCTCCCAAACGTACGCCACATACACTCCTCGTCATTTAAATAGCTCAACTTTTTAATCCTTAGTATTTAAACTTTTAATTTTGTTTATTTTATATTTATTACATCCGATGTGATGGTGCTGCGCATTTTCTCTTATACAAAGTATGCTCGACAAAATTTTTATATGGAATAAAATGCGCAGCACCGTCAATAGAAAAAAAAATATAAAAAATTCAAAAATCAGGGCCATTTTAGAGTCACTTGAAACTTGTACTTTATTACACTACTAGCAGACCCGGCCAGCTTCGTCCCGCCCAAAATTAGATTTTTTATTTCAACATTTTGGTCCAACAGTTTCTCCAACAATCCACATTTACGATTTGTACTGGCACATTCATTGGCTAATACTATGGTTTGGTGGTCGTTTGCCGCCTGAAACAACCGAACGAAAATGTTATGTCCATGAGATGTTCGCAGGTTCTATATAAAATTCAATTAAAAAAAATAAATCTTCATTAAATTGCTTTCATGAAACTGGATTTTAAGCTATTTCGACAGGTGGTGATTTGAGATTTACCTCTGCACAACTCAACCCTAAAGAAGCTTTAACACATAATAATATTGGCAAATCACATCCGTTGGGCCAATCTAACACACGAGAGTTCGGTATACTCAATGATGCAACAGGTCGATTTAGTCTGACATTTACGGCACCTTTTCTCACTTGTCGATTTTTAGTAATAACTCGACCTCAGCACCACCTGGCAGCTCTTTTTTGCAATTGGACTGCCTTTACCGTTTCCAATACATCTTTTGAATATTCGCCAAATCGGATCATAAAAAAGATTTTTAGAAATAACTCAACTCCAGCGTCAATTGGCGGACTAAATTGTGAAACCTAACTATCCAGAGACCCACTCAAACACACACACAAAACTTTGTTAAAATTCCTCCAGCCATTTAGGAGTCTACTCACAAATATACCTACAGAAGAATTATATACACATTCAAAGATAAGTAAAAGTCAGTACGTTTGCACTTTTCCACGCCCCCTTTTTAAAGAGCCCATTTTTCCCAATGAGTATGGGATTAATTTCAAATATCTCCATACGAAGTGTTCCAGTACTGTACCATGAACACATCCAGAGATATGCAGTATGAAATTCGGCTTGTATGGTAGGTCCCACGCCCCCTTTTCCAATAGCTCCATATTTTCTCCATGACTATGTGATTAATTTCATATATCACCACACCAAGTTCCAGTACTCTGCCAAGAACAATTCTAGAGATATGCAATAAGAAAAATTCTACTTGTATTTGAGGTGCCACGCCCGTATAAAGTTCCAGTACTCTACCATGAGCACTTCCAGAGATACTTATTATGAAAAATTCGGTTTGTATGGGAGGTGCCACGCGCCATTTTCAAATACCTCCAATTTTTATCCAAGAGTATGGGATTGATTTCATATGTCTCCAAACCAAGTTCCAATACCCTACCATAAATACTTACAGAAATACGCAGCATGAATATTCGGTTTGTATGGGAGGTGCAACGCCCCCTTTTCCGATAGCTCCAATTGTTTTCCAAGAGTATGCGATGGATTTCATATATCTCCGTACCACGTTCCAGAACTCTACCATGCACATTTCCAGAGATATAGAGTATGAAAAATTCGGTTTGTATAGGTTCCACGCCCCTTTTATATATCGAGATTGTTTTTGTTGAAGTTAATAATACACATATGTAGTAAATCTGGCATCATCCATAGTATAACGACGTAATGTCAACTCTTTATATTACACTCTTTCTTCCTTCTTCTTCCGGTTGAACTCTAATAAATCAGAACACATTGAAGTAAGTCTCTGAGTTTCTTTTTGCATATCGTACTGATTTTGATCAGGTTATGGCCCCAGCGCGCTTCCACTGCGCAGGTGGAGTGCCCATATAATCGTAGTCGCTAAGTTAATGACTAAAACCTTGAATTAGAAGCAAAATTATCAGTTTAGCAAATCAGCAATCCACATGGTGTGTCGCACTAATTTTCCACGAAAGCCCCTTAAAGTGCACAGCGATAGAAAGTGTACGACAACTGCGAAAGTGTTAGCTAGCAGCAATAGAGAACAACCGAAGCGAACGAAAATGTATTTGCGCAAACAAAGAAGACAAACACAAATTACACAGTGTCAGGAATTGGAAAATCGAAATGGAGTATGAGAGCAAATGACAAGCGAATACGAAGAAGTTAAACCAAAACAAAATCGAAAAGTTAAAGAAGAAAGCAGCAAGCGAAGCGTACTACAAACAGAAATAGAAACGAATTCAAGACAAAAGCACTTATCACATTTAAAAATGAGTTTCACAACCATCAAAATTGAACCTCTTGGTAAAGATAATTTTGATACCTGGAAAATACAGGTAGAAGCAATTTTAACGAAAAATGAGACGTGGAAGTATGTGAATGGTAGCTGCGTAAAGCCAGCAGATCCGCCCGCAGCAGTGACCGAATGGGAAGATAACGATGCGAAAGCGAAGTCTGATTTGGTGCTATCAATCTGTCCAACAGAATTGCAGCAAATTAAGAACTGCCGTACATCGAAAGATATTTGGGATAAGTTACACTCCGTGTATCAATCGCGTGGGCCTGCTCGGCAGGCAATGTTACTTAAATCGCTGATATTGCACAAAATGAGTGCCGGTGCTAATAGAGTTGGATCTAGTCGTCATAGCCACTTACAATCCTATTGCTATATAGTATCCCTAAAGAATACGAGACTTTCAGAATCGCCATCGAGTCGCAAGAAAAGCTACCAAAATTGGAGATTTTAAAAGTTAAATTACTAGAAGAGTTTGAGGCGAAAACGAAATGAACTTTCTTCTATTGAGGGCGCGTTATGTGCAAACCGAAAATGCCCAAATAAAAGTGGTAGCCGCCCGTTAAACAGAAATAACGCAGATCAACAAAAGTCTACCTTCAAATATGCTTGCCATACTTGCGGAAAAATCGGGCACAAAGCCAGGGAATGCAAGTCCAGCAATTTTAAAGACCGAAAACCACGGCAGGGGCGTTAGCACAGCGACACCTCATGCAATGTTGAGGAGATAGTTTTAGGTGCACGCACCACCAATGCTAAACGTATATGCCTAGATTCAGGAGCATCATCCCACATGTGTGTTTCGCGTGAAAAATTTCAAAACCTCGAAACACCAGACGACAAAACGTTGGCGTTAGCTAACGACAGCTTTACAAAGATAGAAGGGCGCGGCATAGTGAAAATTAAATCGAAAACAGGCTGCAATGTCACGCTCAACAACGCGTTGTACGTACCGGATTTGCGAACTAACCTCTTGTCAGTTCCAAAAATGGCGCAACACGGTCTGGAAGTAACATTCACGGGAAATAAAGCCATCGTAAAGAACCCTTTGACAGGTGCCGAAATATTTGTACTACGTTGAAGAATCGATAGAGTATGCAGCAGTTGCCAAAGCAAACCCGAAAACGCTTCAAGATTGGCACGAAGCATTCGGACACCTAAACGAGAAAGACTTGAAGGCAATTATTGACAAAAAGAAAGTGATCGGTATAAACGTTAATACCAAAACCAGCTTAACGGCGTGTAGTACTTGCATTCAGGTAAAGCAAACAAAGAAACCATTCCAAAAGTCTAGTCGTGAAACAAAAGAGGTCCTAGAGCTAGTGCATAGCGACGTATGCGGGCCGATGAAAACCCAATATTTTTCCGGTTCACGATACTTCGTCACGTTCATTGACGACAAGAGTCGATGGTGCGAAATTTACTTTTTAAAGCACAAAAGCAAAGTTCTAGACAAGTTCAAAGAATATAAGCTCCTTGTCAAAACCAACACGGTAAGCGGATAAAGTGTCTACGCAGCGATAATGGAACCGACTATACTTGTACACTAAAAATAAAAATTCGTAAAAGTGCTACGAAAATCTTTCGTAGTGTTGGTTTTTGTACAATGTACGAAACTTTCGTTCATAATACGAACACATTTTTCACAACGAAACAAGATTTTATGAACCATACGTAAATATAACGAAAGGACTTTCGTAAGGCATTTTTTCAGTACAATTTACGAAATCTTACGTTTATTTTACGAAACACATTCGTAAAGCACTGAACAAATCTCTGTACGAATAATTTTGTATATTGTAGGAAGGCATTCGTAATAATTACGTATGATTTTAAATTTATGAAATCTACAATTCTGTATTCGTACAATTAAGTTAATACTTTCGTACAAAGTAAAGTAAAGAAACATGTTTTTTAAATTCGTACAACATACCAATATTTTCGTAGAATATACTCAATTACCGCCAGTTTAATATTTCATCACATTTTTTGTATCGCGTGTCATTGCGGAATTAATTGTTGGCTGCTGTGAAACGTATAATATTTTTTTAATTAAAAGGGATTTGCTGGATAAAAAAAACAGTACAAAATTAAATATTAAAGTTGTGGATATACTATGCTTTTAAGTATACAATGATTTTAACATCGCCTACGCTGCGCCTTGCACTGCAATGTGGGACTTGATAAATATGCAATTTCATCAGTTACCTATCAACCGCAAGCCTAAGCCAGGAGCACTACTTAATGTAATTAAAAGTAAGTACATGTATGACTTTTCACTGAAACTTGCTTTTCAGGCGCCTTATAATTATACCCGAGCGCACTTGTGCACAAGGGTATTATAACTTTGTTCACATAACGGTTGTTTGTAACAGGCAAAACGAATCGAGATAGATATAGACAAATGTATACATAAATGATCAGGATGAAAAGAGAAATCGATTAAGCGGTGACTGTCTGTCCGTCCGTCTGTGCACACGATAACTCGAGTAAAAATTAAGATATTTTAACGAAACTTGGCACGTGTACTTCTTTCGGGCGTAGGACGGATGGTATTGAAAATGGGCAAAATCGGACAATAACCACGCCTACCTCCCATATAACGGTAATTTTCAGAAATACGAAAACTGCGATATTTTAGTAACTACTGAAGATTATTCACTAAAAATTGATATTTGCAATAACTTTTAGACGAAAAATAAGAATATTATAAATTTTTTAAAAATGGGCGTAGCCACGCCCACTTAGTGTTACATGTGTATATCTTGGCAACCGCTGCACCGATTTCTTCCAAACTTGGCACAGTTATTGGCCTTGGTACAGGATACCAAATGGCCGAAAATTTAAAAAATGGGACAATAACCACGGCCACATCCCATATAACGGTAATTTGGAGAAATACGAAATCTTCGATAAATCGGTAAATATTGAAGCTAATTTATTCAAAATTGATGCTTGCAACAATTCTTTATCAGGAAATACGCTTATCATAAAATTTTGGAAAATGGGCGTGGCACGGCCCACTTATGATCACATATATGTATCTCGGTAACCGTTCTACCAATTTGTACCAAACTCGGTATGGTTATTGTGCTTGCCACATAAAAGCAAAATTATTTAAATCGGACTAAAATTACGGCTTTTCATATAACGGTAAATTTTAGAAATGCTCGAAACGTCAAGCACGGCTTTTCATATAACGGTAAATTTTAGAAATGCTCGAAAGCAAGCGTACGGCCCCGCCCGAACTTAGACTTTCTTACTTGTTTTTCTTTAATTTATAAACGTCAAGGAAACAAACATCGATGAAGCTGCGAATCTGTTAAGTGCCTCTACATAAAAATATTGTAATTTAAGAAAGTAAAACCAGTATTTTTTATATTCTTTCATATTTTATATCTTATTATATTTAGTTTTATTGAGACTCATAATTTAACACTTTGCATCAATATACTTTATTGAATGAAGCCTAAGCAATAAAAAATATGTAGTATAGAACCTATTCGTATGCATATAAATAAAAGACTTAAGTTTTATTATAGGTAAAATAACCCTTCTATAAATTCTAAACTACAGTGTAGTCAGAAAATTCTTCTTCTTTCGTAGAACGTATGATTGCTTTTATTATTAACACTATAAAAAACATGACTAAAATTATAGCGCAACACTTTTATTATATTTTAATCAATAATGTTAAGCGTTTTTGCAAAACGTTTTGTTAAACAAAAAACGCCTAAAATTAACGATAAAAACAAAATAAAAGTGTTGTGTTATAATTCGTAATATGTTTTTTACAGTGTGGAGAATGAAAGGATTTTGCTACGAAACAAGCGCAGATTTTACGAAAGTAACTTCGTTAAATATACGAATTATTTCTGTGCATTTTACAAAAATTTCGTAAAAAACTAAAGAAATAGTACGAATTTTTTTAGTAAATAGTACTAAATTCTTTAGTAAATAGTACTAAAAGTCTGATGCCTCATATTTTCGTAGTATGTACGAAAACGGTTTTGTACAATCAACGAAAACTTTCGTGGCTCAAAATGACGAAAAATTTCGTAAGATTTACGCAAGTTTTTGTTATATTTACGCAGATTTTATTTTCAGTGTAACGCCATGAAAAGTATACGTCAAGAGTTCACAATCGAATAC